TAGATATCTCTCATATATTATATAGTTTTTAATGGCAATATAACTGTAAACTTAAGAATGTAATATTTATCAAGCAGATTCTGATGCATACCCTGAAGTGTATGTGTGTACTCTTTACAAGCCTTTTAAGAAAAATACTTTTATTTTAAAAATTCATATAAACATTACCCTTCTTTCATTAACATAAGGATAAAAGATAAAACTTCTTTCAACTACACTGAAAGTAAAATAAGTAAATCCCAACAGGGATCATAGCTGTAACCTGAATTCAGTTGGAATCAGGGCAGAAGCAAATGTCCTTAAAGTGATATTGAAGTGACATAAACTGTATTTTAATAAAATAAAAATTGTATGCAAACATATTGTTACCTCAAAAAAGTACAAGATATTGCTCTCATACTCCACCAAATCTTCAAATTCCTTTTTTTTCTGTGATCCCGCTCCATTTTAAAGGGTGGCTACGTTCTTTCTCCATGGTGTCAGGAATGCAGCCTTCCTCTCTTGTATACTCTTGAGATGGATTACGGACTATGGACTAGGGACCAGGGACTATGGGATGTGTAGTGTACATATGCAAAGGGTTTACTTGTTTCCTATTATTTGCCACCTATATTAGTATAAAAGTTTAAATGAATTTCTATTTGGTAGTTAACCTCCCTGGCGGTATGATTATTTCAGATTTTTGGTGCTGAAAGCGGTACCATTTTTTTGCATGGAAATATGTATTTTTTTTATTGTAGGCTGTAATTTTTAGGAAAAACTCACTGAAATCTGTCCGAACAAGAGTCTAGTAAACATCCCGGGTATGATAAAATTTGAAACACAAAATCATAAATTATAATTTAATAAATAATCATAAAAATAATATAAAAATAATAAAAAATTTAATTCAATAATATAATCAAACCAAAAACACTGAAATGTGAAATAGAGCGCCAAGTTCGCACATCGCTGAGCTCAGTCGCAAAATCGTTTTCAGTTTCTGATGACGAATTTCCCCCACGAATCATTATCACTCAATTCTGTAAGTGGTTCTGATTTACTATCGCTGTTCTCTAGCTGATCTAAACCGCTTTTGACCTAAAGGGACACTTTTTGGACGCCATGGACATTTCTCAGTTTCCAGGCAGAAAGAACAGACAAAATGCAGGCAGGGCGCAGGACAAAGCACTAGGGACAATATGTATGTGAAATAGGTTGAAACAGCAATGTTTTACTGTGTAAAATGAAAAAAAAAAAAAATGAAATTTTTTAAAATTTTTAAATTTCCCGCCGGCGGCGGCGGCGGTGCCCGTACGTCCCGACGTCACAGGGACAGGACACAGAAGCCGGATGCCGGCATCGGCCGGAGGAGATGGCCGGGGACGCTGCAGGGGACACATCGTGGGAGCGCAGGGTAAGGTAAGTGAAGAACACATGCCGGAGCAGTGCCGCAGGGTAAGCCCGAGTGTAGCTCGGGGTTACCGCTTTTGGTACTGAAATGTTACCCCGAGCTACACTCGGGAATACCGCCAAGGAGGTTAATATATACATTTACAAAGATTTATTTCAAATGATCTGCTAAAGCAGTGTAGTGCTACACTCTTGAGGACCACTGAGTTTTTGTGTCCCCCTAAGCTCTGCACAGCCAGGCAACATGCATTTTCCACACTTTCATCCACAGTCAGTAAACAGTCCATGGGTTTAGGTTTTTTTTGTTTTATTAAGGTTAACAACTTGGATAGAGTAATGGGGTTATTTGATGCTCAATCTGATTGAAGAAACAACAGAATGAGGACGTTTCCTACTCTAGCACACTTAGAAAAAATGACAAACACTTGACTGCATTCCAGCCAGAACCATCACAGTCGTTAGTAGAGTAATCCCTTTCTAGGTGCTTGGTGTCCCCTAAAGACTTGCCAGAACTTGCATCCAGTAGACGTCTCCCTTCTAGGCCCTGGGGGTGCAGAGCTACTCACATTGTCCTTATCTTGCAGCTGTGGATAAAACTGCTTTTTTCCATCTGGCCTTTCCATCTGGGCTGGTTTTTCTCCAAGCTTTGCAGTCTGTCCTTCCCCAGTAGATGACAGGGCAGTGGAGCTCCCTCTTTTAGCTTCTCTTCAGTTTCCTGCCTCCAGCCTGGAAGCAGAACCCCCCTCCTCTAGTGCTCCCTTCCAGCCTACACCGCAACACAACTCAGCAATCCATCTTCTACCTGACTCTCTCATATTTATGGGCTAGTCTACCACACTACCAGGGCCTATTAGCCTGAGATTGGCCAGACTCCCAGGAATATGCAGATTTAGGTCTCTACCCTTTCGCCCACTGGCTTCTGGAAGCTTACATGGACCTCCAGAACCGGGTGGAGACGATGAGTCCCAACCTGCTGAGTAACCCAGCCGGACCTTACACTGAACCCAAAGAAATTCAGGCTCAGTCACTACCATGAGCCAAAATTTACCTTAAATTTACCCTAAACTAGCCTCACCTAGTAGGCGCTACAGCAGAAATAAAAACAAGACCTGTCTACTTCTTTGAAAATTCTGTTTTATTTGTCTTACAATTAGTTAGCTACTAGTTCATCAACTGTACTATCTCCCTAGTATTTAGAGAAAGCTTCTTCTAATATATTTTATTTAATATCTAGCAAAGGGTAAATTATAAAATCAGGGCAAAGTTTATTAAAATGGTAATTATCTAACCATTCCTATTTCTGATTTTATTTTATTGTCAGGACTTTTCTGGGATTAGTCACTGAGTACTTAGCACAAAAGCATCATCTAGTGGTCATCTATAACACTATATGCAAAGAAAAAATAAAAGGAAGACCTGCTCTGTATATCCAGATGTGCATAATTTATAATGTTTTTTTTTCCTTAGTATGTTAACAAATGCTTTGAGCCTGATGTATGAAAAGTGTGCAATTGGAAAAATAAAAATTTTATTGCCTAGAGCAACTGGTTAGCACCCTTGATATTGCCTTAAACCTCTACTTGAAAATTATCAGGAAAGGAAAAGAAAACTCTCCAAATTGAACAAGATTCTTGTTACAGGTACTTATATAGAGCCATCAATTTATGCAGCCCTTACATACAGTATATTGTACATTCACGCCAGTCCCTAGCCCTCAAGAAGCATACAATCTAAGGTCCCTCACTCACATTCATACATAAGGCCAATTTAGTCAATTAACCTACCAGTATGTCTTTGGAGTGTGGAAGGAAACCCACGCAGGCACAGGAAGAACATGCAAACCTGCAGGTAGTGCCTTGGTTGGGATTTGAACCAATGACCCTAGTGCTGCTAGGGTCCACTAACCACTTGGCCACTGTTCTGTAGTTGTCAAAGGAACAGGTGTCACCTCAGAAGAATTTTCCCTCCTAATTGTTCTCATGCCAAACCAAAATGGATTTTCCATTTCTTTATACTTTGATAACCATGCTCACCAGGACAAATATAATAAAAAAATTATCTCCCCAACAGAGACACAGACAGCAATAAAAATGTAATACAATGACTAACCCTTTCCCACGTTCTTTAAAATGAAAAAAAAAATAGCCTTTGCATACAATTTATGGAAACATTTTGCCCATATGTCTCAGCTTTGGGAGGTATGGGTGAGGGTCCAATTCTCTGCTGTGTGTTAGTTATAGGGACTTGGAATTGGAATATCTACTATGACCACTGTACATCCTGACAAGATATCATATTGCCCCAAAGCCAAATTATTATTGTCACCACATATTTCTTTGAGTTTAGCACCCCTGCTCTAGTGGTGTCTCCAATTTCATCATAGGCCGCATCAGCATTATATTTCCCCTCACAGGGTTGGTTGTATCTGTAAGACTAGATGTCCAGAGCACACCCCCTTCCCTTTCATCAGATGTCAAGAGCCCCTCCACTATCAGAGGTCAAGAATCCCCCACCCTTTCTTTTATCACAGTGCACCTTGTGTTGCTGCTGGGAAGAAGTTGGGGGTGGAGCTGAAAAGCAGGAAGTGCAGAGTCGGGAGGAGGACCAGAGAAGGGCTGGAGCCAGCTGCTGGAGTCTGCTGAATGCTGAGACCAGGGGAGGTGGAGATGAGAGGATGCCGCAGTTGCACAGAAAGGGGCAGGATCTGTTCTCACTGCTGCCGACTGGTGAGACAAGGTGGTGGTGGAGACAAAGGGGTACCGCAGCTGCAGTAGAGGTGTGAAGGCCACATTTGGCCCATGGACCTTATGTTTGACACATGTGTACTAGATGGTGGAGGACAAAGATATCTGCCTAAGCTGCCTTAATGAATTCACATAGATCAGAAAAATATTTGTTTTGGGTTGAACTGCTCTTTAATTTCATAATAATGGATCAATCCTGCTTTATGAGACACGTCAATTTACCTGTGGTTTTAAGAGCCATCTGAGTGTCCACCCTCCTCACCTTGTCTCCCATAATGTAGTCTAAGGCCTCATGCACACTGCTGCTCCTAAACTCATGTTTAGGAGCTTTTGGTGTTTTTTTTGCCCTGAACTCAACTCAATAAAAGACTATGGGGTTGATTTACCAACACTCGAGAGTGCAAAATCTGGTGCAGGTGTGCAAGGTAGCCAATCAGCTTGTTCAGTTAAACTTTGACAAAAAAAAGAAACTGAAAGCTGATATGTTTTTAAGTGAGCTGCACCAGATTTTGGACTCTCCAGTTTTAGTGAATCAACCCCTATGTGTCCATGCACGCATAGGCTTTTACCAGCGTTTAGAATCAACCCCTATGTGTCCATGCACGCATAGGCTTTTACCAGCGTTTAGAAACAGCAGAGTTTAGAGGTAGTATAATGCTCCTCTCCTGAATGCAGAAGAATTGCAAGAGGAGTGTTTTGACAGGAAAACGGTAAAAGCAGCAAAAATGCGTGTAAATGTGTGATGATGCTAGGCATGTTTAGTGCTTTTTCATTTCAATAATCAGAATAAATGATTTATTCTGGCCAATGACATGAATACACACCCAAACGCTTGATGTGGGTAATCGAGTGTAATCACGTTTAACCTCCCTGGCGGTATTCTCGAGTGTAGCTTGGGGTAAAGTTTCAGTACCACAAGCAGTAACCCCGAGCTATACTCGAGAATACCATGCAGCGCTGCGCCACGATCCCTCGATCACTTACCTTGTCCTGCGCTCCCGCGATGTCCCTCCTGCAGTGTCCCTGGCCGATGCCGGCATCCGTCTTCTGGGTTCCGTCCCCTGCGAGTGTCAGGATGTACGGGGGACGGAACGATGGGAAATTTTTAAAATGACAAAAAGTGACATTCACTAAAATCACTAAAATCACATAGTAAAACATTACTGTATCAAAACATTTCACATACATTTTGTCCCTAGTGCTTTGTCCTGTGCCCTGCCTACATTTTTACTGTTCTTATTGCCTGGAAACTGAGAAACGTCCATGGCGTCTAAAAAGCGTCCCTTTAGGTCAAAAGAGGTTTTAGACCAGCTAGAGAACAGCGATAGTAAATCAGAACCACTTGCAGAATTGAGTGATAATGATTCGTGGGGAAAATTCGTCATCAGACACTGAAAACAATTTAGCGACTTTGCTCAGTGATGTGCAAACTTGGCGCTCTATTTCAAATATTATTGAATTAAATTTATTTATTATTATTATATTATTATTTTTTATGATTATTTATTAAATTATAATTCATGATTTCGTGTTTCAAGTTTTATCATATCCGGGATGTTTACTAGACTCTTGTTCAGACAGATTTCAGTGAGTTATTCCTAAGAATTACAGACCTACAATATAAAACGCCAAATTTCCATGCAAAATAATGGTACCGCTTTCAGCACCAAAATCTGAAATAATCATACCGCCAGGGAGGTTAAATGCTGTACATAACGTTTACCAGCATCAAACATTTTTTTGCTGCCAGAAACACAGGCACTCTCCCAAGAAGAAAAAAAAAATTCCAGCAATACACACCAAACTGAGCATGTGCAATGTGACTCTACACAATATGTTTTATCAGGAGATAAGAGGGGGGCACTGGAAGAAGGGGAGAATCAAATAAGTCAGGATCAAATAACCTTTTTAAACATTGCAGAGAATTAGCCCTTTAGGTTCAACAGTGAGTATAGCAAGCATGCTTTACTGCATATACAGACTGATTTTACAGTTGTGGGTTTAGTAACACTTTAAGTATGTTTAATGGTTACAATTATTTGTCCAAGCAAATCCAGCATTTTGATGTGGGTGACGATGAGATATTTAAATATGGAAAAATCAATTTAGAAATTATTACACAGATAATAGATGATTCATAGATTGCTCCTAAAAGGGGGTAATGGGCTGATTTTAGTTATGCCTCTTCCAAGGAATAAAAAGTACATGGTGACTACTTCATAAACAGTAAGCACAATGGACATTTGATATGTTACATTTGAACCTCAAAATTAAATAATGCAGATGTTATAGATTGACTAACAAAGACATACAGAAAAGTCACAAGAAGTTTGAAAAAGACATCTATATCTATGCAGTGGTGTATTTAGGTTTTGTACTGCCCTAGACAACACAAAAATTGTCTGCACCCACGGACACAGACCAACACAAACCCCCTTCCACTTCCCATGGAGAGAGCCTGACATTAACCAACAACACTCCTGCCCCCTACCCAGGAGCCTTTTAACACCCCCCCCCTCCCACGGCGATAGAGAGACACTCATCTTCACAGCTCCGGACATCCCCGGGAATGTGAGGCAGGCTCTACATACACCATCAAGCAGCCCGCAGCCTCTCTCGGATCCCACCTGGTTCCCATGGCATGCCCCTTCTTTCATCACTTCTTCTGGGAGGAGGTGCTGCCCCCCTGAAAAAATGCCACCCTAAGCAAGTGCCTTGTTTGCCTTGTGGTAAATAAACCCCTGTATCCATGTAGTAGAAATTGTTCTGGCTATAATTTTCGAACATATTTTCAACCTTTGTTTAAATCTACAATTTTCTTTAAAATAATATCCAAAAACCTGCTATTTAGGAAAAAAAACAAAAGGATTATATCGTTGTCTACTGTTGCAGGAATTTGGGAGTCACTCACAATGTGGGGCTACTCTTCCCATCTTCAAAAGAAGTGCTCAAGTAGTAGGCGTCTCCCAAGGTTCCCAACACCTAATTAGTTTGTGCTTCCTGAATAAGCCAATCCTCTAAATTCACATACCCACTTAGCATGCCAGCCCGTGCCAGTATCATCCTATAAATATTTGACTTATCTTGATGTCTCTGCTTTATTCAGGTATTTCATACGGTTACAACAATTATTTGCAAAAGCAAATCCTGCTTTTTGATGTTTGTGATGATGAGATACTGTACATTGTATTTGAAATATTGATCACACAAGTTCAGTTTGTGGGCAGGGTCAAGTGTTGGTACCCGGAGAGGAGAGAATGTACAGAGATCAATGAATGCAGTAAGGAGTATTAAAGCAGAGCTCCACCCAAAAGGGGAAGTTCCGCTTTAAGGACTGCTCCCCCGCTCCCCATGACGGATTGGCACCTTTGGGGGGCGGGGGGGGAGCGGGTACCCAAGTTTGACAGGTACCCGCTCCCACGTCCGGTCCGATCGCCTAGGTGATCGGAAATGGAAGGTGTCCTCCCTTCCTGTAGTCTTTTTTGACACGTAACAGGTCTCAGAAGACTACAGGACCATTCATGAAGTGCAGCGCTACTCTCGCATGCGCAGTGGGAAGCCACAAGCTGTCACATCTGGGTGCCCACACTGAAGATGCCAACCTCCTGGAATACAGGACAGCCGGTGAAATGGGCTGTGGGGAACACACCACGGGACCGACGGACAGGGACGTGGCTGTTTTTTAAAAGTCAGCAGCTACAATTTTTGAAGCTGCTGACTTTTATTTTTTGACAGGGAGAGTGGAACTCCGCTTTAACTTAATAGTTCCGACAAAGTGGTAAAAGAATCTGTGTAGCATAGCCAAGCCCAGCACAGCAGTACTATACAGAAGGCCTTGCAAATATAGAACTACAGAGGACACTCTAACAGCTTACAATGTCTGGCAACATCTGATGAAGGAGGTGGCTAGAAGGTGGTCTGACAACGAGGCACCTAAACATGGGAAGGGCTCCTGGCTGGTGACACAGGCATACAGTCCTTACTCTGTCCCTCCTCCACCGGAACCTTTCCCTATGCTAGACATGCTGTCTGGTGGGTTCCTATTCCTGACTTCACCACTCAGAAATGTGTGCCAACACTGCCCACAATAAAGATGGCCACCAAGATCAACCAGGGCAGCAGCGTCCAGTTAGACAGCTGCTCCCTTATGACTACTATGGAGGCCTCAGAGGATCAAGAGTTCTTCCTGTCCTCCACCCTCTCTACATGGTGGTGGCTGTCACAGCACCACCTGTGCAGGGAGGCCACACTAAACCTGCCTACGAGTTGCCAAACTGAACTTTCTTATCATATGGATAGATTAGTTTTAGTATTTTATATCTACTATACCCTAAAGGTGTTGGGACAGGTGGAACACACAGTTTCTGTGATTTAACCCTCTAATGAATGGTTCTATAATGCCAGGATGGAATAGGAAGCATAGTCCTGTCTGATACATTTTACATGGAAACCAATGTTAGCATACTGCCAGGAGAAAATAGGAGATATCTAGTAATCCTGACAGAAACTGGTTTGAAAAAAAAAAATGTAAGTTGTCCTCAAGAAAATAGCATTGCTGATTGAAAGATCACTGTGTGCTTGACTGCATTTTCCTCTGTATTTATAGGTGGGTCAGAAGTTCAGGGCCCAATCTAACACATACAGGACAAAGTATGTGTTATACCATGCTTTAGGTTCTGGAAAATCAATTTAGAAAATATGACAGAGATAATAGATGAATCATAGATTGCTCTTGAAAGGGGGCAATGTGATGATGTTAGTTAGGAATAAAAAGTGCAAGGTGACTTCTGCATAAACAGCATGCACAAAGGTCATTTTATATGTTACATTTGAACCTCAAAATTAAATAATGCATGATGCTATAAAGCCATACATAATTCATTTAAAAGTCACAAGAAGTATGAAAAACATAAAAACTATGCAGTGGAAATTGTTCTGGCCTTTAAGCTGTAATAGAACTCTGATGCTTAAAGTTTATGTCAACCCAATCAATAAAATGCTGTATATGCTTTATCACGGTAATGTCACTGCAAAAAGTAATCTCTAACCTTTTTGAAACCTACAGTTTTTAAAATCAAATCTGAAATTCTATTAAAGGATAAGTTCACCTTTGAGAACATGTTACATGTTCCACCTGTTTTTAGGGTGGAACATGTGACATGTTCTACTGATGACCCCCCCCCCCCCCCCCCCCCCCCCCCCCCCACCCCCCCCCTTGTGACAGAAGTAGAGGGAGAAGTTCCTGTACTAGCTATCACTTTTTAAAGACAGCGCAGCCAACACTGCCATATCATTCATTCACAGAGTTCCGACAGTCTTAGCGGCTGTTGGCTTGCAGCTCTCAATGTACTACCATGGTGCTGTGGAGCACTGTGGTAGGGCATTTAATCTTCCTGTCAATATATCTGCTTACCCATACATCCCCTATAGGCAAGCAATTATACTGACAGATCTACAGGAGTCCTGCATGGCACCAGCAGTCTGCTGATCACTGCTGCAATGCTTTCCAGGCTCCTGCAACCGAAAATAATAAATGCACATTTTTTTACCTGCATAAAACTGCATTTATTATTTTTGGTGAATTTATCCTTTAAGGTCCCTATTCAGGACTTCCTGTTACAGGGTGACAGCACTCTGCCCTTTCTTCCAATTGTGCTGCTGCATTGTCACCTTTTCACTTAAGTTGCATATGGAGACTACAAGTGGCCTTTTCAACACATATTACTGTGACACTGTCACCATCAATAAACCCATCTTGATAAATGTCATGCAGCAACTGCTGGAGTGTGTGAATCTAGACATGAAGTGGATGTAGGAAATCAGCAATACTAATACTGCTGCATACAGTACCTCCCAACTTTTTGAGATGAGAAAAAAGAGTACCTTAGTTTAAAGTATGTAGATGAAGAACACAGCACCACAAAGCACCAAGTTACTTGAGCAGTGAAGAATTCATATGCAAAAATGATTGGTCAAACCTACAAATTTTTTTCTTTCCTTTGTTACTTTTTCTTTATACTGGCATGTTACATAGTTACATAGTTAGTCTGGCTGAAAAAAGACAAAAGTCCATCCAGTTCAACCATTAAAAAAAAAAAAAAGTTATAATCGTATACCCACAGTTGATCCAGAGGAAGGCAAAAAAAAAACCAGCAAAGCATGATACAATTTGCTCCTGCAGGGGAAAA